CATTATCCTGTTATCAGTAACCACGTCACATTATCCTGTTATCAGTAACACATCACATTCCTGTTATCAGTAACACACGTCACATTATCCTGTCGTCAGTAACACAATCACATATCCTGTTATCAGTAACACATCACATTATCCTGTCATCAGTAACACCGTCACATTATCCTGTCATCAGTAACACATCACATTATCCTGTTATCAGTAACACACATCACATCATCCTGTCATCAGTAACACATATCACATCATCCTGTCATCAGTAACACACGTCACATTATCCTGTCATCAATAACACACATCACATCATCCTGTGATCAGTAACACACGTCACATTATCCTGTCATCAGTAACACACATCACATCATCCTGTCATCAGTAACACACATCACATTATCCTGTTATCAGTAACACATCACATCATTCTGTTATCAGTAACACATATCACATTATCCTGTCATCAGTAACACACGTCACATTATCCTGTTATCAGTAACACACATCACATCATCCTGTGATCAATAACACACGTCACATTATCCTGTCATCAGTAACACACATCACATCATCCTGTCATCAGTAACACATATCACATTATCCTGTTATCAGTAACACACATCACATCATCCTGTGATCAGTAACACACGTCACATTATCCTGTCATCAGTAACACACATCACATCATCCTGTCATCAGTAACACACATCACATCATCCTGTCATCAGTAACACACATCACATCATCCTGTGATCAGTAACACGTCACATTATCCTGTCATCAGTAACACACATCACATCATCTGTCATCAGTAACACACATCACATCATCCTGTCATCAGTAACACACATCACATCATCCTGTCATCAGTAACACACATCACATCATCCTGTCATCAGTAACACATATTACATTATCCTGTCATCAGTAACACACGTCACATTATCCTGTTATCAGTAACACACATCACATCATCCTGTGATCAGTAACACACGTCACATTATCCTGTCATCAGTAACACACATCACATCATCCTGTCATCAGTAACACATATCACATTATCCTGTTATCAGTAACACATCACATCATTCTGTTATCAGTAACACATATCACATTATCCTGTCATCAGTAACACATATCACATCATCCTGTCATCAGTAACACACGTCACATTATCCTGTTATCAGTAACACATATTACATTATCCTGTCATCAGTAACACACGTCACATTATCCTGTCATCAGTAACACATCACATCATCCTGTCATCAGTAACACATCACATCATCCTGTCATCAGTAACACATCACATCATCCTGTCATCAGTAACACACGTCACATCATCCTGTCATCAGTAACATATCACATTATCCTGTCATCAGTAACACACGTCACATTATCCTGTTATCAGTAACACATATCACATTATCCTGTCATCAGTAACACATATCACATCATCCTGTCATCAGTAACACATATCACATTATCCTGTCATCAGCAACACATATTACATTATCCTGTCATCAGTAACACACGTCACATTATCCTGTTATCAGTAACACATATTACATTATCCTGTCATCAGTAACACACGTCACATTATCCTGTCATCAGTAACACACATCACATCATCCTGTCATCAGTAACACACATCACATCATCCTGTCATCAGTAACACACATCACATCATCCTGTCATCAGTAACACACGTCACATCATCCTGTCATCAGTAACACATATCACATTATCCTGTCATCAGTAACACACGTCACATTATCCTGTTATCAGTAACACATATCACATTATCCTGTCATCAGTAACACATATCACATCATCCTGTCATCAGTAACACATATCACATTATCCTGTCATCAGCAACACATATTACATTATCCTGTCATCAGTAACACACGTCACATTATCCTGTCATCAGTAACACACATCACATCATCCTGTCATCAGTAACACACATCACATCATCCTGTCATCAGTAACACACATCACATCATCCTGTCATCAGTAACACACATCACAGCATCCTGTCATCAGTAACACATATCACATTATCCTGTTATCAGTAACACATCACATCATCCTGTTATCAGTAACACATATCACATCATCGTGTTATCAGTAACACATATCACATCATCCTGTCATCAGTAACACACGTCACATTATCCTGTCATCAGTAACACATCACATCATCCTGTTATCAGTAACACATCACATCATCCTGTTATCAGTAACACATATCACATCATCCTGTTATCAGTAACACATCACATTATCCTGTCATCAGTAACACACATCACATTATCCTGTTATCAGTAACACACATCACATTATCCTATCATCAGTAACACATATCACATTATCCTGTCATCAGTAACACATCACATTATCCTGTCATCAGTAACACATCACATCATCCTGTCATCAGTAACACATATCACATCATCCTGTCATCAGTAACACACATCACATTATCCTGTCATCAGTAACACACATCACATTATCCTGTTATCAGTAACACATCACATCATCCTGTCATCAGTAACACACATCACATTATCCTGTCATCAGTAACACACATCACATTATCCTGTTATCAGTAACACATCACATCATCCTGTTATCAGTAACACATATCACATCATCCTGTTATCAGTAACACACATCACATTATCCTGTCATCAGTAACTCTGTGCGTGTGTGTGTGTGTGTGTGTGTGTGTGTGTGTGTGTTGTTACTCACCTGCTGTGAGTCCAGGTGGAGGTGGGCTTGTGTAGACACACTGAGGTTGACTGTAGAGAGAGGTGGAGGTGAACAGAGAGCTCACTCTGACACTCACACAATACTCCACACCTGTCTGCAGGTACGAGATGACTGTGTGCTCAGTGTACGGCACACTCAACACGAACTGAAACACACACACACACACACACACACAACATACACACATACACACACACACACACACACACACACACACACACACACACACACACACAGACACACACACACACACACACACACACACACAGACACACACACACAGACACACACACACACACACACACACACACAACACAGACACACACACACACACACAACACACACAGACACACACACCACACAGACACACACACATACACACACACACACATACACACATACACACACACACACACACACAGACACACACACACACACACACACACACACAGAGACACACACACAGACACACACACAGACACATACGCAAACTCAGTGTAAACAAATTCAACACATATATATTTATCGACCTGTTCTGCTGATTCTCGTTTATAAACTCTCAAAGTGTTACAGCTGCATGTTCAAACTAAACATGGTCAAAGTTTCAGATCATGAGGTAATCGTATGTTGGAGTAATCCCAGGATGAGTCTGCAGAGGGCGCTAAATGCCTTGTTCTGTAAATCACGCCATAGCTCCCCGATATGAAACCAAGAATTTCAGCAGACGGCTTCAAGCCTCTGAAACCTCTTACAGAGACTCTCTTCTCCCAGACCTGGAGAGCAGCCCTCCCCTGGCAGCCCTGCAGTGTTCTGACCCCCAGGAGGGCTTCCAGAGAGCGGGCCAATCAGGAGAGAGTGGGCACGTGGGGAGGTAGGGCTTAGGGAGATCAGATCAGGATCAGCTGCTCTAAAGGTTTCACACACTGACCACATGAGAGGTGACCACGAGCAGAAGGCGGAGCTTGAAGGATTATCTCATGAATGTAGAAAAGCTCTCTGTGATTCAAATGTTAAAAGTGACAGTTTCCTGAAACCGTCCGTGACAGGATGTCGAGGCTGAAACCACACATGCAGGAAAACGTGACGTCTGCAAAGAAAACCTTGTTTTGAGTTTCATGTCAGAGGAAGACGAGAGGTTTCAGTGTAACCCGAGGAGGGGATTCACACAGACCATAAACACACTGCATCATGGTAATGTGTCTTAATCACAGCACGCATTGGACGTTAAATAAAACACAAATATATAATTATCTGCAGGATGTGGTTCAGCCGGGGTTTCCCAGAGTCTGAAACAGAACTTTAATTAATGAATTACTTCAAATACGATGAAGATATGTTCAGAGAAGCTGCTGACTTGTTAAACTTAAAGTCTCACTGTACCACATTCAGACTAAAACATAAATGTTAAATATGGATATTCTAGTAGGATAAATGTTTAAATACGGTGTCTTGAAAGAGAGCAGGAAGTGAGGACACTTACACAACTTTAGACAGCATTTCAGATTTCAGTTGTGATTTTTGTTCTTAAATACATTTTTCTTTTTTTAATTAACACTCACCTGTGCACCGTCTCTGGTCCTCTTAACCTGGATGTCCAGGTTCCTGTACAGGTCTCTCAGCTGCTTATGCTGTTGGAGCCCCCCTGTGGTCAAAGGTGTTAACTGCAGCAGCAGACAGTTTCCACAGCCAGACACTGAAAGGCCAGGAGGTCCAAAAACCGCTGATGAGAAACAGACCGGACATAAGTAAAAAACAGGATTAATACAGGATACTAGAAAACTGCAGTTCCTCCAGTGTCCACTAGAGTCTGTCTCCTGCAGTGAGTCAGTCCTCATAGAGCTCTATGTTAAAATGTCTAACTTTACAGCTGCAGTTCCTCCAGTGTCCACTAGAGTCTGTCTCCTGCAGTGAGTCAGTCCTCATAGAGCTCTATGTTAAAATGTCTAACTTTACAGCTGCAGTTCCTCCAGTGTCCACTAGAGTCTGTCTCCTGCAGTGAGTCAGTCCTCATAGAGCTCTATGTTAAAATGTCTAACTTTACAGCTGCAGTTCCTCCAGTGTCCACTAGAGTCTGTCTCCTGCAGTGAGTCAGTCTCCATAGAGCCCATGTTAAAATGTCTAACTTTACAGCTGCAGTTCCTCCAGTGTCCACTAGAGTCTGTCTCCTGCAGTGAGTCAGTCCCCATAGAGCTCTATGTTAAAATGTCTAACTTTACAGCTGCAGTTCCTCCAGTGTCCACTAGAGTCTGTCTCCTGCAGTGAGTCAGTCCTCATAGAGCTCTATGTTAAACTGAATGTTTATACAACTCACCTGTTTACATTATATTAATTCTTAACGGGATGTAGAATTAGGGGGTGTGGTCTCTTTGAATGACAGGTGGGAGCTGCAAGCTGTCTGCTAGGTGTCACCTCGGCTAAATCAGTCACTGACCTTTAACCTCTGAGCTGTGATTGTGTTGTATTTGAGACGTTTTCACGCAGATATCAGATAGATGATGTGATCATATTTGTGTGTACGTGTCTCACTGTCGGTCAGAGGCTGGAAGACTCCAGACACTGTCCAGTTGGAGGTCTGGCTGGATGTGAAGGCTTGGACTCGGGCCTGGTAGGACTGAAAGGGGTCCCTGAAGACTCGGGTCAGGTTACAAGTCTGTCCGACCGTCAGCTCAGAACACGCAGCCACAGACCTCCATGGCTTCCTCCTGCTGAGAGAAAAGATGAGGCTGACATTAAACCCTGTAGAGAGACGCAGGAGAAGAAGAAACTGAACCATGGGTTAGGGTTATCATAAATCATAAATGATCTATTTTAATGCACTTTGGATTGCCTCTTTATGGAATGTGCTGCACAAATAACCTTACCTTTCATGCTTATTTATGAATACATTTATGTTCAGTTCAGGCCAGATAGATAGATAGATTTTTTCCCTTTTTATATTTTCTCACGTGTCGTTGCATTATATACTGTAATAGTGGATGGTTTGGTGCTGCGTAGGAGTGGAAATTGATGGATGATCTGATCAAGAGGCACATGTATAAGGGAACAAATGTTGAAGAGGAGGGGTCCTAGCACTGAGCCTTGAGGCACTCCATGGTTGGGTGGGGCTGGGGGGGAGCAGGAGTTGCTGATGGTGACAGTCTGTTGAAAGGTAAGATTGAAGCCAGGAGGTGGAGATATACTGGCGGTTGAGGAGAATTAGCTTCATGTGGTCAAATATTTAGTATCAGTAATCCAAATTTAATTTTTAATGTAAAATACTGTTTTCCAAACTTTAATAATATCACTGATGTGCACACTGGTTCGTGAACACTTGGGAGGGTGAACACTTGTTAGTAGACACTTGTTAGTGCACACTTAAATATAATATATATCTTTATATAAATATATAAATGATAATTATATTGATTCACCCTGAAAGTATCTGTGTTCCTGTGTTTATTCGTTTACTGGTTCACCTGTGTTTACCTGTTTAGATGATTACCTGTGTTTACCTGTTTAGATGATTACCTGTGTTTACTTGTTTAAATGATTACCTGTGTTTACCTGTTTAGATGATTACCTGTGTTTACCTGTTTAAATGATTACCTGTGTTTACTTGTTTAAATGATTACCTGTGTTTACCTGTTAAGATTACCTGAGTTTACCTGTTTAAATGATTACCTGTGTTTACCTGTTTAGAAGATTACCTGTGTTTACCTGAGTCTGAGGGTCTGGATGGTGAAGCGGGTGTGGGCCGGGCTTTGTGGGCCTGGCAGAAAGCTGAGTGAGTGCTCCATGTTGAAGGAAGAGATGGAGACGTCAGAAGGGGGGGGGAGGGGGACACTCACACCTGAGGAGACAGGTAATCAATCAATCAATCAATCTTTATTTGTATAGCAACTAATCATAAGATTAAGATTAAGATTTACTTAATTCTGTTTTTACACATCATGAACACACACAGAGTGAAATATACACAAACAGGATCCTCTGGACATGCACTAATGGAGAGATGTCAGAGTGACGGAGCGGCCCACAACGGGCGCTCCTGAGCTGGTGGTGGGGGGGGGGTTTAGTGCCTTGCTCAAGGACACCTTGGCAGTGCTCAGGAGGTGATCTGGCACCTCTCCAGCTACCAGACCAACTTCCATATTTGGTCCACTAACCCGACCCTCCGGTTCCCAACACAAGTCCCTACAGACTGAGCTACTACCGATAACAAATGTTATCTGAAGACACTTGGGCACCAGGTAAAAAGCGCGAACTCTTTGTTATATTATCTAAGAAGAACCAACATTAATCCAACATGAGTACTAAGAAAACTTATCGAGTCTGGTTCTGATCCAGACCTGCTCTGTTTGTAAAGAGTCTGCAGAGTACATTTGTAATAAATCTGAGCATCAAAAATACGATTAGATTCAAACGTTACGCAGCCTGAGTTTAGTCATTCTGATTTAAAATCATCAGGTTCCAGTTTATCTTTAAAACACTGAGATCTAAACATGTGACCCACATCATGAAACGGACCCAGAACACAGTTTCAGAGCGGGGGACGGGCTCACAATGATAAGAAGAAAACAAACTGAAAGAACCTGCAGTTTGAACTCACTTTGACAGAGTCACTGTGAGCTTACTGCCACACACACACACACACACACACACACACACACACACACAAACACACACACACACAAACACACACACACACAACACCACACACACACACACACACACACACACACACACACCCTAACCCTAACCTCTCATACCGAGCTGTAGGTGAAGCAGCCGAAGAAGAAGCAAAGTCCACAGCTCCATCCTCCTCCATGGACCGATCTCTGACTCTGACAGCTCAAGTTAAAGCTGCAGCATGAACCTATAGATGTGTGTGTGTGTGTGTGTGTGTGTGTGTGTGTGTTTGTGTGTGTGTGTGTGTGGAGGGGTGGGGGGTGGCGTGACAGGGCTGGGATACAAACACATCTGAGTTTCTATTTCCACAGAAGTCCCTCCTCCTGTTTCAATGTCAGATCTCTCTCTCTCTCTCTCTCTCTCTCTCTCTCTCTCTCTCTCTCTCTCTCTCTCTCTCTCTCTCTCTCTCTCTCTGTGTCTCTCTCTCTCTCTCTCTCTGTCTCTCTCTCTCTCTGTCTCTCTCTCTGTCTCTCTCTGTCTCTCTGTCTCTCTCTGTCTCTCTGCTCTCTCTCTCTCTCTCTCTGTCTCTCTCTCTCTC